AGTACATAATGGGCAGTAGAATTTGTACCATTTGCACTATAAAAAAAAAAAAACAGGCGAGTTAACATTTACAAGAAGCGATCACATGCAGACTTAATTGATTTATGGAAAAAAAGCAAAATATGTTATTAATGTTATACAGGATTTATATAGTTTTTTGCAGCGCTTTACAAAAGGATTCAAATTAACTCATAAATTAGAATTCTTTCTTTTTATAAACATGAACTCAGCATGGATTACTTTTAAGTACCGTGTGTGTCTTTAGGTATAATATTATATAAAATATACCATTTAAAGTGAGTTTAGTTGCAGAGGGTGCAATGAAATGTAAGTCAGGATCCCCTACTCACAGTGATATAATATATCCACAATAGAAGTATTATGCTTTAAAAGGAAAGTTCTTATTGTGAATAAGTATTGGGTATGGTAAATCACAGGAGGCAGAAATTCTCTTGAAATTCCTTCATCAGATTGACCCTTTACAATTTCAGCATACACAGGGCAAATTTGAATTTCCTCCCAACATCCACTATAATAAATATTCAATGGAGCAGATTTCATAGATTTCCTCATTGTTAGAGGTCTCAAGATCAGTTTCCCCTTCTGCAAAGCTGCCCCTGTTGCCAATTCCTAACATGTTAGAATTATTTGCAATGAGTTCCTTGAATGCAGTGGCCATAAATTCCCCTGTTGTCACTAACATTGTCACCTGGTCTTCCTCCAACATTTCTTCAGCCATGTAAGACATAACTCCTGCACATGTGCATGGGAATTAATCTATCAAGACACCCAAGGTATTCTGAAAATGTACACTCAGCTGTACAGGCATGGCTCAGTCCACAATCTAATGAGGATTGCTAGCAGGCAGGGAAGAGACATATATTGTAAAAGATATATATGAAAAGTTCATTTTTAACAAAAGGCAATTTTTCTAGCAATATTGAAAAAAAAAGATAATTTTAGAGTGAATGGTAGCTTTTAAATTACTGAAGATCATAGCAGATAGGCAAAAAAAAAAACATGCTCTGAAGGTATTTTTGGGGAGGCTAAATGCACACTCTTCATGCAGGAAGAAAAGTAACAGGGAGTCCAAAGGATAATGATCCTGATAGTGATCACTCTTATCTTGAATCATTGAATATTTTGATGATCTGTGTATATTTTTGACCATTACAGATTGCAATCTTTGGGATTACATTTTTATCTCTTGACATAGATACAGTAAATCACTGTTAACTGAGTGTAAAAATAAAGTTGATCATTGCATGCAGGGCCAGCGCTACCTTTAGGCAAACTAGGCAGCCGCCTATGGTGCACTGCGGCCTAGGGCACTGGTTTCCCTACTCTCTGCCAGCTTCCTAACATCCCCACTTCATCAACTCCCTGAACAAGACAAACGCCCACTACGAGGGCCTGGAAGTGGTCTCCCCTACTGGGTTCAAGGTGGTGCTCTACCTCAACCAGATGGAGGTCTTCAACTTTGTAGATAACAGCTCCCTGCCGGGTTTCGCGGTGCTCAAGCTGAGCAATGGCTGGTAGTGCAGTATGTTCCTGTGGGTGGAGTTCATCATGGCTTCCGGCTACCTTTCAGGTAGGAAGATCCGTCCCGCTTCCAGACTTTGGTGGCCCAGGCAATGGACAAGTGCAGCTACCAGGATGTGGTGGAGATGATTGCCAACACCAGCAAGGTCTGCCTGTGGATACAGGAGCGTTATGTGGTTTAGATCACCTCGGCCTTCAAGTGCACCAGAATCTGGCCCCATAGTGAGGCTCAGTGGCCCCTGCTGCCACACTTCCCCTGGTTGGGCCCCACCAGGGTGTCAGAGTTCAAGGCAGAGGGATTCAACCTGCTCTCTAAAGAGTGCAAGCAGAGTTTTGACATGCCAGCACTGCCTAGGTGCTCCAGTTCGTCGAGGCAGAGAACTTGCTGCTGCTGAGGGGCTGCAGGAACAAGTGTCTGTCCATCCTGAAGACCCTGCAGGACAGACACCTGGAACTGCTGGGCAGCCATTTAACAACTACCATACCAAGAAGTCCCCAGCACCCTTCAATGGGGTGAGATGTGGAGGGACTTTTCCTTGCACAGGATGCGAGAGGTGACTCTCCCCTTCCAAACAATGTGAATACCATCACACGAAAAGTTTTTGGATTTAAGAAAATCAAGGTACATTTTCATAATGAAATGTAGCAATTTTCTTTTTATTATTATTATTATTATTATTATTTTGTTTTTTTTTTTTTTTTTTTTGTTTTGATTTTTTTGAGTGTTTGTCACGAAGTGAACAAAAAATTATTTAAACTGTATGTACAAATTTTCTTCTTTAACTATTTCCTGACTGCAGGTAGCCGATTGAAGGTTACACTGTGGGTGTCCAGTTCTGGGAGGCCATCATATGATGTCCTCCCAGAATGCACTCTCCTGCGCGCTCCCGAGGGAGCTCACCCGCGATCTTCATGATCGCTGTGTCCTATGGACACAGCTGATCACATGATGTGGTAAAAGGCCAATCACAGTGGCCTTTTTCCATGTGATCAGCCATGTCCAATGACACTCTAATCATCGGGAAATGCAATTGTCGGTTCTTAGCTGCACTTTCCTCACACTGTCAGCAGGTGAGAAAAGTATTGCTAAGAACCGGCCATTGTCAAAGCAGGGATTGCCACCGATTATCAGGGCACTGATGATCAGTGCCCTGTTGATCGGTGCCCAGCAGTGCCACTCACCAGTGCTGCCCACCTGTGCCCAGCAGTGCCACCCAACTGTGCCCACCAGTGCCACCCACCTGTGCCCACCAGTGCCACCCACCTGTGCCCATCAGTGCGCATCAGTGCCACCCATCAATGCCCATCAGTGCCACCCATCTGTGCCCATCAGTGCCACCCACCAGTGCCCATCAGTGCCTCCCAGCAGTGCCTCCAGTCAGTGCCCAGAAGTGCTGCCAGTCAGTGCCCAGCAGAGCCACCAGTCAGTGCCATCTATCAGTGCCGACTATCATTACCCATCTTCAGTGACAGCTCATCAGTGCTGCCTATCAGTGTCACCTATCAGTGCCGCCTATCTGTGCCACCTCATTAGTGCTGCCTATCAGTGCCGCTGCCTATCAGTGCCCATCAGTGCTGCCTATCAGTGCCCATCAGTGCTGCCTATCAGTGCAGCCTCATCAATACACATCAATGAAGGAGAAAAATTACCTGTTTGCAAAATTTAATAATAGAAACAAAGAAACCTTTTTTCTAATTTTTTTCTCTTTTTTCCTTAAAAAATAAAAAACACCCAGCGGTGAGTAAATACCACCAAAAGAAATCTCTATTTGTGAGAAAAAAATGATAAAAATTTCATATGAGTACAATGTTGTATGACCATGCAGTTGTCATTCAAAGTGCGACACCACTGAAAGCTGAAAATTGGCCTGGTAAGAAAGGGGTTATAAGTGGTTAAAAGTTTCCAAGGTTAAATGTATTATAGTGCCATTGTCAGCCTGTGCCCAGCAGCTGACACACTGAAATTAGAAAAAGACCAATAAAAAACAAAACAACAAGTTTAACTTCAGATGTTTGAGTGATAAATGTGAATAGAGAATGCATCAGTGCCTCCCAGTAGTGCCTCCAGTCAGTGCCCAGCAGTGCTGCCAGTCAGTGCCCAGCAGAGCCACCACTCAGTGCTGTCTATCAGTGCTGACTATCAGTACCCATCTTCAGTGACAGCTCATCAGTGCTGCCTATCAGTGTCACCTATCAGTGCCGCCTATCTGTGCCACCTCATTAGTGCTGCCTATCAGTGCCGCCTATCAGTGCTCATCAGTGCCATCTATCAGTGCCCCTCAGTGCTGCCTATCAGTGCCCATCAGTGCCACCTATCAGTGCCCATCAGTGCTGCCTATCAGTGCTGCCTATCAGTGCAGCCTCATCAATACACATCAATGAAGGAGAAAAATTACCTGTTTGCAAAATTTAATAATAGAAATAAAGAAACTTTTTTTTCTAATTTTTTTTCTCTTTTTTTGTTAAAAATAAAGCACCCAGCAGCGTGTAAATACCACCAAAAGAAAGCTCTATTTGTGAGAAAAAAATGAAAAAAGATTTCATATGAATACAATGTTGTATGACCGCGCAATTGCCATTCAAAGTGCGACAGTGCTGAAAGCTGAAAATTGGCCTGATAAGAAAGGGGTTATAAGTGGTTAAAAGTTTACCGAGGTTAAATGTATTATAGTGCCATTGTCAGCCTGTGCCCAGCAGCTGACACACTGAAATCAGAAAAAGACCAATAAAAAACAAAACAACACGTTTAACTTCAGATGTTTGAATGATACATGTGAATAGAGAATGCATCCTGTATGTGAGAATGTCAGAGTGCTTTGTGGTGTCTGAAATAATTTTAGTAAACCCTGTTTATTGCTTCATTACTGTATATTCATCAAACACAACAAACCTTAGAAAATGATGCTAATGTATGCAGAGCTGCATTGGAATTAATAGTGTAATAAGTAAAGTAAAGTGTAATAGGTTTTCTGTTTTCAGTTTCTGCAACTAGAAAATGCATCTGGTAGAAGAGTAAAACACCACAACATTGGTGTAAGTCAACACCTTACTCTGTTAGTGTGCTGACAAATGGTAAGGCCAGGTTTACATCTATTTATGTCACCTTTTGTCCATTTTAATGCATTCTTAACATGCCTTTTGCATGTTTTCATTATCCTATTGGAAAACACAGTGCATGAAAATGCACAGAAAAATGGGCTTGCCTCAATTATCAAAATGCAGTATAATGCACTGCAAACATCTGAACAGTCTATTTGAATAACATTGATTTTTATGATGCACGCATTGTTTTGTTTTACAATGTATGCATTATAATTCAAATCTGTCAATAGGGCCTAAAAAGTACTATATCTTAAACCTACCTTTTTAGTAATGGAGAATACCCCAAAGATAAATTATATGCTTGTTGCCTATAGAAACTTAACACTTTTCTTTTTTTAATACTTTAATATATATTTCTATTCTTGTATTTTCTGCAGCAGTTTCCCTAATAGAACAGCATCTGCTTCAAGCAAAGTTGTATCTGTAACGGCTCCTAGGAATCTCAACGTCAACTGCAGGTCAACAAGCTTCAGGCGCATTTTAGTCTCTTTTTGGTACTTCTCTCCATCTTGCTCTGGCCTCTTGCATACAAAGTGAAACTTTCCACCCAAATTGATGTACAGGTCATCATAAACAACAAGGAAGATTGTCCCTGCAACTATTTTGTCCTTTTCTGTATCCTTCTGAATAAGTGGGGAATGCCGAAGTAGAGAGGCAAAGCTTTCCTTCTCCTTGGTGTAAAGTGTAATAAGTAAAGCAAAGACGATACAACCAGGGTCGGCGCTACTGCTATCAAAATACAAATAATTTATATTTGGTTACATGGATTCAAAGGTTTACTTATTTTTTTGGGGGGGATTGGGGGTGCAAGTAGCTGGTCTTACCTAGGGTGCAAAATAGTCTTGCACCGGCCCTGATTGCATGTGATACTTTTGGATTTGCAATAAAGGTTTAGTTTCCACAGCATATAAAAACAATGCATTTCCAAGAATATATTTTTTTCATACTTTGCATCTATTTGTCATCGTTTGCAATATAATATCTTTAAACGATGATTTCTTGAAAGTGCATTTGTCAGAAAGAAGGAAAAAGTATGGCACTTTTAGATTTATATTCTCAATAATGTTGTCTTGAAAGAAAGTTGATACATTCCATTGCTTGCTTTATGGACTAGGATGCCATTTGCAGCATGAAGAAAACATAAAGATCTCAAGTAAAGACTGACTTACAATTGCTACACATATTGTTCAACTCTTACAGTTGTGTCCAAAATTATTCAACCCCCAATGCTGTAAAGGGGTTTAGGGACTATAGTGTACATTTGGAATTGTATTCAGAATCAAATCCTACAAGGACGTTGTAACTACCCAAATGCAACTAAAATGACATCAATTGTTTATGTAATACAGTAGTAAATGGTTCTTATGTGGTTTCTTCATTGCCACAATTATTCAACCCCTTAAAGACTACCACTCTGAAGAACAGAGGTTCATACAGGTGCTTTCCATCAGGTATTGAAAACACCTGTGGATGTCACCGAGCAGCAATCAAGCATAATAAGCACCAATTAGGCAGCTTTAAAATGACTGTGATACTCAGCTCCTTCTAGACATTTACTGGTGTGGTTACAAACATGGTGAAGGCAAGAGAATGGTCCAGGAAGACAAGAGAAGAGGTGATTTCTCTTCACAGGAAGGGCAATGGCTATAAGAAGATTGCAAAGATGTTAAACATACCAAGAGACACCTTAGGAAGCATCATTCGCAAAATTCAAGGCAAAGGGCACTGTTGAAACGCTACCTGGTCGTGGCAGAAAGAAGATGCTGACTTCGATGCTGTGCGCTACCTGAAGCGTAGAGTGGAGAGAAGTCCCCGTGTGACTGCTGAGGAACTGAGAAAAGATTTGTCAGATGTGGGTACAGAAGTTTCAGCCCAGACAATAAGACGCACACTGCGTAATGAAGGCCTCCGTGCCAGAACTCCCAGGCGTACCCCCTTGCTGTCTCCAAAGAATAAGAAGAGTCGACTGCAGTATGCCAAAAGCCATGTGGACAAACCACAAAAGTTGTGGGATAGTGTTCTGTGGACTGATGAAACAAAATTAGAACTGTTTGGGCCCATGGATCAACGCTATGTTTGGAGGAGGAAGAACAAGGCCTATGATGAAAAGAAACACCTTGCCTACTGTGAAGCATGGTGGAGGGTCAATCATGCTTTGGGGCTGTTTTGCTTCTGCAGGTACAGGGAAGCTTCAGCGTGTGCAAGGTACCATGAATTCTCTTCAGTACCAGGAGATATTGGATGGAAACGTGATGCAGTCCGTCACACACCTGAGGCTTGGGAGACGTTGGACCTTTCAACAGGACAATGATCCCAAGCATACCTCCAAGTCCACTAGAGCATGGTTGCAGAGGAAAGGCTGGAACATTTTGGAGTGGCCATCGCAGTCACCAGACTTAAATCCGATTGAGAACCTCTGGTGGGACTTAAAGAAAGCAGTTGCAGTGCGCAAGCCTAAGAATGTGACTGAACTGGAGGCCTTTGCCCATGAAGAATGGGCGAAGATACCCGTAGATCGCTGCAAGACACTTGTGTCAAGCTATGCTTCACGTTTTAAAAGCTGTTATAACTGTAAAAGGATGCTGTACTAAGTACTAAGATTGAATGTCACTTGGGGGTTGAATAAAACTGATAATGCTGTGAGCACAGAAAAGACATTTGTGGTTATTTCATTATAACTGTTATGTTATATTTGTCTGACCTACAAGTGCCTCTTTAATGTAAATGTAAGCAAGATGACTGAATGATCAAAAGCAATGTCAAACTGGCCAAAACACTCAATTTCAGTGGGGGTTGAATAATTTTGGACACAACTGTACTTCACAAGTTACAGAGCATTTACGTTAATGGTATTTTAAAGGTTCCCATATAAATGTTTCTTAGCAGCTACATGTTTTGTAAGGAAAAGATAATAAATATAATGCACATAGATGAAACCCTAATGTGTTTTTCAGTAAACTTTCAAAAGTATAACATTTAAATATGCAACTATGCAATTTTATTGCTATACTAATAGCGTAGTGCTTTTTATTCTTACACATTTATGTACTTAAAACTAGGGGAGGTAATCTGTGAAGCTATGATAGCTAATAGCTATCATTAACATCCATTAAAGCTAAAATATTCAAAACCTTTACTGTAATTTGTATTAAATAATACTTTTGGCCATGCAGATTGAAAAGACCCCCTCCTATCACGTTAAAAAAAGATCAATTTGTCATACATAATTCTGAGGAGAAAAAAAAAAACATCAATTTGTTTAAACTTGCAACATCAAAATGACCAAACAAGCTTCAATAGAAGCAACAATGTACACTAGGGTACCGTTATCCGCTGAGCTCCTGGCTAGTAGGCATATACTCTCTTAGACTTCAGAAAAGGGTGCATGAATTATGTGCTGCATATGGTTCCTCCTTGTTAGAAAAAAGAAAAACATGCTAGTGGAAAACACAAATAAAAAAATAATACAATAAATAGTATGTATATGGCTTTCAGCTATATTATAAATATTATTTTAGCTAAAAGGCAGAAGGTAAATGGTACCACAAATCTATTTGTATAATGACCATGGTGCGTTACAATATTTTAGGCACTAAAATGTTTTTCATGTATTCTTGGTTAATTTATGAGCATGGTACTCTGCTATCCTTATACTTAGAATATGGTAGACCAGGGTTGGGTGCTGATGCATACTGATACTACATTATCCTAGAAAGCTTCCCATGGAGAATTAGTCTTGTAATTCTTCATCGCTAAAGTTCCATTTCCAGCATGTTTCCAACTCTTTATGCACAGTCTTTTTTTATTGTATTCTCACATCTTTGAAATACAATATACGATCATTCTTTGCCATGCATTTGATACTATGCAAACCTTGACATATTCTAAATTGCATTAGAAATTGTACTTAATTAATAGATAACATATGACTCAATGTTAACATCTTAATTTGCTCTGGGCTGCAGGTCTCTGTCACTTTGAACTGCCAGTTCTAAAGGTCCTGAAAGTGGCTTAAAGTGTAACTGTGGCCATTTGAGTATATGCATATTTTTATTAAGCAGTAAATCTTCTCTTACTACTGTTGCTGCAAGCCTTACGTAGCAATTAATGCACAGCAGATGCATTGAAGTTAAGTTATGAATGGAGGGTGGATGGATAAAAGGTCTGCCTCATCCATAAATGTATGGAGATGAATTGCTTCACTGTACTTGCAGCTACAAAGGTCAGTGAGAGCTTTTTTTTAAAGCTAATTTACTTCTTGTTAAGAATATGTAAAATGATGTCCATAGCCTGGCCATAGTTAAGCTGGGTATACACAGAGAGTCTCTTTTCATTCAACCAGTGGGTTGAACAAAAAAAATACCTCGGAGATTCCTGCATCCACACAAGTGATGTGAATGTGGGAATCTTTCCCATTGTGCTATTGTACTCTAATAGCCAGGGCTACCCCCATCAGTATACACAGATCAGTGCTGCAGCCATTGGCTACAGCGGCTGATCAAATGCTGGTTTTCCAGCAGGACCATTCTACAAAAGGCAGTCATTAGACCAGCTTCTGTTGAACAGATAGTGATACACATAGATCCAAATTCAGCCAGTTCTTTCTGAACGGGCCAAATTTTGATACATGTAAACCTAGCTTTACACTTTAAGTCAGGGATAGTTTTAACTGCTGGCTTTTAGAGACAGATACAAGTATAATTGCACAACCTAACAATCTATGCCTAATGAACTTTCATCACCCTTTCTGAAAAAGCACTACTTCTAGGATAGAAGTCTTACTTCATAGCCACTTAGCAAATGAGATTGTCCCAGTTCTACAGGATATGCAGCATTGTCATGTCTAGCACAAAGTGGTAAGCCGATAGCATAAACAGAACTTATTATCACATTCTTTCATCTCATTAAGTATGAAACCAAATCAGTTTGGCTAAGCATATATTATGTAACAGTAGGTTCTAAAGTGTGTAATTTTTTATGACCCCCTCAGGTCTACAATATGTAATTCTTCCTGACCTCATGTTTCAGTAATGCAGAACAAAGCAAGTGTAGTGGATTAAAAGCTAAATTCTATAACATTTTTGACAACCTGAACTCTAATAAGACAGGCGATTTAGGCACTGTGCCCTCCTCACTCAATAAAGATTCTCTATCTTCCACGGAAAAGTTCAATTCCTTTTACATCCAGAATGCATCTTATAACTGCCAGAACCATTATAATATTTTATACTTTAAATTATTCTTTTTCTTACAAATATTCTCCTGTCAGACATTTTACATTTATGTAATATAACACACCAGTGACAAGGCCAGGCAATCCAAGCTTTATAAAAGACTGATGTTCAAATAATTGCATGTCCTATTAAAATCCACAACTATTTATATATATTTTTTGTCACCTGAAGAGTCATCAGCGAAAACAGCTATGCAAATGTTATGTACAAACTCAGGGTTATCAAATCTGAAAACTAGAAACGAGGTATATAAATTATGGAGGTATAAATTATAGCTTTAGCTTGTCAAAACATTTCAAATTTAAATATTTGATATAAAAAAAAAAACATTACCTGGAAACTGTGGCTCTCTTCTCTTAATTGCCATTTATTTAATTGCCAGTTACACTTAGCTGTCAATTAATGAATAGCAGTTGAATACTACAAATAGCAATTACCCT